ACAGGAAGCCCCTGCCCCGGGCTTCCTGGAATCAGCCGCTGATCAGTTTCAGCAGCAGCTGACTTGGGGATGCCTGGGGTTCTTAAGTTGAATTTGTATGTAAGTCAGAACTGGCGCCCAGATTCAGCCACTGTTGAAGCTGATCAGTTTCAGCAGCGGCTGAATCTGGACGCCAGTTCCGACTTACATACAGATTCAACTTAAGAACAAACCTACAGTCCCTATCTTGTACGTAACCCGGGGACTGCATGTAATTGGTGGTGTGTGTTAGAACATAGGAATGGCCAGACTGGGCCAGATCAAAGGTCCATCTAGCCCAGTATCCTGTCTGCCGACAGTGGCGAAAACCAAAGGGAGGGATCACAACAGGTAATCCTCACCCACCTCCAGAGAAACAGAGGCTAGGGACACCATCCCTGCCCATCCTGGCTAATAGCCACTGATGGACCTAACCTCCATGAATCTACCTAGCTCTTTTTTCAACCCTGTTAAAGTTCTAGCCTTCACCACATCCTCTGGCAAGGAGTTCCATAGGTTGACTATGCGCTGAGTGAAGAAAAGAGTGTTTTCACGACTAAGGGGACACTTGCAATTTAGATGCACAGAACTCTCATACACAACAGCCTTGCAAGAGTTGGACAGACAACAGACACGCATATTTATACTGTTTTTAATACAAAACGCCTCATGGTATCATAAAAGGGTCCTTTCCGTATACACACACAATAGAGAACACAATTAGCCAGGCAGGCGGGGAATTGGATCATTGTACACGGAAAAAATACAATCAAATAATTCACATTTCTGTTGCACCAGCATGTGCTGACTATAAATAGAAGCTGCAGAACCCCGGGGGGGAGAGGGGAGGCTGGATGCAGGTCTTTAAAAAATAATTAAAAATTACGAAAAGTTCTGCTTTTCTTTAAAGTCCCAATGATCATACAATGTGTAGAAACAAAAGGGCTGTACGGTGTTCAAATGGCACTGTTCCCACTCAAAGAGTTTACGTCCCACAGGCTTCCTGAATGTTCCTTTTCCAGAAGCCAACTTTTTTTAAGTTCATATCAGAGGATTTCCTCTAGTATTGAAAAACACAGTCACGTAGGTCTGTGGGGCTGTGTCTACACTGACGTTATTCCGAAATAAAGTCCATGACTACGCTACAAGCAGTTATTTCGACAATGTCAAAATAATGTCGAGCTGGAGGACTTTTTACTTCGACTCCTGTAACCCTGATTTTATAAGGAGTAAGGGAAGTTGGAGGAAGAACGCTCTAACTCAGACTTCCTGCTGGGTACAGTGCAGAATTAGCTACTCTGACTTAAGCTACTCAAGTGATGTAGCTGAAGTTGTGTTGCTTATTTTGGCTTTAGCCCTGCTATGTAAATTTGGGAGATGTACAGGTTCAGAACTTACCTGCACAACACACCAACCATCCCTCAGCCCTCTTATCGAACTGCATTACAGCCAATAGGTTAGACCAATGTTTCCCAATAGATGCTCCGGTGAGCCATGGTGAGGGGTTTTTTTTTTGCTCAATGAAATGCGGCAGGGGGCCTTTTTTAAAGACAACTCTAGGGGTTCTATGGCCAAATAAAATTGGGAAACACTGAGTTAGACTGACAGAAGATTGAGATCCTAGTCATGGCTCTGTTACTGAATGGATGATGGTGGGAAAGTCACTCAGCTTGTAGGCCCTGTGGGACAGAAACCATCTATTACCCAGTCTAAAAGCACAGAGAGGAAAAGGGAGTTCTTAAAGGTCAGGGCAGTAACGCGCAGGGAATGTGGTGTACGTACGTTCTGGTCCAATCAGCAGAGATAAGGACCAAACCACGTCATCATGCAGCCAGGCGGCATATTGCCCCGCGCCCCCGACCCCATTCAATCACACGTGTGGCCCAGCTAGCTGCAGAGCTCCTTGAGCAGAACAGAGGCAGTCTGTAGACACGCCACTTCTAACTCATTCTCAGAGCTTGCAGATCAGCGAGGCGTGAGTAGCCACCGTGACGGCCGTTCACAGACCGACGCTTAGTCTGTCCATTCTTTCCCTCTCCCACCACGGAAAGGGAGTCCAAGCGGATTGCATGCTCTCGTTTATTGAGTGTGGAAGCTGGAGAACTAAGCTGGCTCTGTTATTTGTGGTAGCTCAAGGCAGCTGGCCAGAGGACAGTGCTCCTGCCACAGCTTTGGGGGCGAGACACTCCACAGTAAAAGACCAAAAAACAAAGGTGATCTCAAGTCCTGGCGAGCAGAGGAAGAGCCGGTTTTCAAGGACTTTGTCTAGAAGATACAGTATTGTAATTTAATTCTGCTGTGGATTTGGGATCCTAAAACCAGGCTGTTTCCTCTTCCTCCCGCTCTGCAAAACCAACCCAAAAAGGGAAGCAATGCGGTCTAGTGGGTAGGACACTGCACTGGAAGTCAGGAGATGCAGGTTCTATTCTTGACTGACACGGACCTGCTGTGTGACCGAGGACTCTGATTCCATTCGCGCTCTCTGCATTTAGACCACAAAACTCTCCGAGGCAGGGACATGTACAACGCTGAGCAGAGGCCTAGATTCTAGTGGTTTACAATGGATTCGCATTACAGTGAAGAGAGGGTGCTGCCCACTTTGTGGAAGTACTAGCACATAAGGTTATATTAAAGCTGCTGTGTGCACACCGCATAACCTATGACCCAAGGGATGAGAATGCAGGCAGGCAAAGATCCCCCCTCCCACACACACCCCCTCAAACTGATCTCTACTGCTTGTGGGCTTCGTAGCCAAAAGTGGATTTGAATTTGAGTCTTACTGTCCCTGTATCCGTGGTAGTTGAGGATTCCTGCACCCCTATGGCAGTGAAAACATTACTCAAAACGTATTTGGAATACTTAAGAATCTCTCCTGGTCTGGCTAACCTCAGAACTGCTCTGAATGCAGATAGGAACCCTGCTCTCTGCAAAGAGACCCAAGGGACATAAGACACTAGGAAAATGCCCAAAGTTTCCATAGTTAGCAAACCAGCGGTCACAGCAAGCAACATTAACCCATTGGCTGTTTCTGGGCATGAATCAGTGTTTGGCCAGGCAGTTTCCAGTCAGCTAGAATCATGCATCTCCTCAGGGGTACTCAGATCTCCCCTGCCAAGGGGACTTGTACAATGGCCGCTATGGGAAACATTCCTGGCAAGGCTAACGGAGAGGGTTCGAGGAAGCGATGATGGGAGATCAACTAAACACAAGGGCTGCGTCTAGACTGGCAAGATTTTCCCGCAAAAACAGCCGCTTTTGCGCAAAAACTTGCCAGCTGTCTACACTGGCTGCTTGATTTTGCGCAAAAGCACTGACGTTCTACTGTCCGAAATCAGTGCTTCTTGCGCAAATGCTTTGACGTTCCCGTTCGGGCAAAAGCCCTTTTCCGGAAGTGTTTTTGCGTAAGAGGGCCAGGGTAGACAGCTGAAAACTGTTTTGCGCAAAAAAGCCCCGATGGCAAAAATGGCGATTGGGGCTTCCTTGCGCAAAACCACGTCTAGATTGGCACGGACGCTTTTCCGCAAAAAGTGCTTTTGCGGAAAAGCATCCGTGCCAATCTAGATGCTCTTTTCCTCAAATGCTTTTAACGGAAAAACTTCTCTGTTAAAAGCATTTGCGGAAAATCATTCTAGTCTAGACACAGCCAAGGTGTCTAATTCCACTGACTCTCTTGTTCAGCGTAGCTACTGCATTCCTGACAAGGCCCATTCGCTTACTCATCGTGGTGCAAGAAGATCTACCCCACGTTCTCAATCCAATGGAACTCTAGAACCGCACCTATCGACCATGAGCACATGAAGGCAGTCAAGTGCATCCATAGTAAATGAAATGGGGAGTCACAAGAGTTACGACAGTTTGGAAAACTTCTGATGGGCCAGCAGGATATTTACACACTCTGGATGCAAATACATTATCACCGAGGGGAAAAATTGGGGCTAAAGGATTGATATCTGGGCAGGGGTCAAACTATCCTCTCTGTAGGAGAGAAATCCCATGATTATCACCAAAAGCAGCGAGGAGTCCTGTGGCACCTTATAGATTAACCGAAGTGTTGGAGCATAAGCTTTCGTGGGCAAAGACCCACTTCGTCAGATGCATCTGACCAAGTGGGTCTTTGCCCACGAAAGCTTATGCTCCAACACTTCGGTTAGTCTATAAGGTGCCACAGGACTCCTTGCCGCTTTTGCAGATTCAGACTAACACGGCTACCTCTATGATAATCACCATGTTTGCTAGATGGAAGTGGGCATCAAATGTCTCAACAGCTGCTGAGTCTTGGTGTATCTAAAACAGTTATTAAAAGACAGGTGACTTGGCCCCTAATGCTGTGGTGTCCAACACGCTAGCCACATGTGGCTACTTGGCTGGCTGAGGGTGGCTAGTTGCCTTACCAAATTATTAACATTTTCAGAATAATGTGGCTAGTTGGCTACTGGCTGGACCCCCCGGCTCTAAAGAAATCTGCTTACTCAGACACCCCTACTGGTGAAATTTGGCTGAGAGTGGAAAAGACATGCTGGGAAGATAAAAAGGACAGAAAAAAACTGCAGTTTCCTTCCCAGTCACAAACTATACTTTCAAAAGCAAATGAAAAAACGCTCCCTCCTCCCTTCCCAGAATACACCATTTAAAAGCCTTGCAGCTAATGGCAAACAACAATTTTATTTTTCTACCACCTTTCAGTTCATGGCCCAAAAACCACCTTCGTCTTGATGCCAACGTTTAAGAAAAGTCTTCGCAGCCTGGAAACACCAAGCGAATGTTTATCTCCAAGCATGATCCACCGGTCGTTAAACGTACACAAACAGGAAATAGATATCGATACCGAGACAAACCACTCACGTTTGTGACCAGACGTGCTCATATTACACACCGACAATATACATGGTACCTGAATACAGACATGTCCACACTTGAAGTAAAAACCCTAAGCAGCAGTGAGGTTTTTGATATGAAACAACAACGAAGCACAGACATTCAGACTCAGTACCCCGTGGGAAGAGGTGGTGAGTGCGCAGCTCCTACTGAATGACGGAAACGAGGGTGCTCCGGTGTCTCTCAGAGCTTGCAGAGGAACTCAAAAGAGCGCACACAAAAAGCAACGGAGGTATCTGTAGCATTTCCCCGTGTCCCTTTGATACAATGGAAGAGATTAGTGTTTGAATCAACTCTTCCGGTCAGCAGCCTGCGCTGGCATCCCCGCAGCCTGTGACCTCGGCCGAGGGCTTCACTAAAGGCTCAGACAGCAGGAAGCGGGCTGAGAAGGGAGCCCTAGGTTAGTGACAGGCCATGTTCGTGCAAGCAAAATACTGAATAAATATACTTCACATCATTTTGTAATACCCCCGAGTACCAAGAGGTCTCTTCTCTCCTTCCCTCGCCTTGCCTGGATATTATATGCCACTTAAGCCGTCAGTGTCGGGCATTGCTGTGACCCCTCTTTCATGTAAGTTCTCACAGAGTTCTGGCTTCCCACGTGGATCGACTGAAGGGGTCTCAGGCCTGCTCTGAGTTTGAAAAACGTGGCTGCTTCTTGGGTTAGCACAAAAGGAAGTTCCAAAGGATAGCATCCTTTCCAGAAGTGCGCCACTCGTCCTGGTGGAACCTACAACCACACCACGTGCTGGCCACTCAAACCGACCTCAGTCAAGTCCCCGTGGGATGTTTCTTTTACTTCCAGAAAAAAAGGGGCCAAGTTTGTAAACTTGAGGCAGGAAAAAAAAAATCGTTGCAAAGCCACATCTTGGTGCCTGAAGAACAGGCATCAATGTAGGAGGAAATGCCAACTTAGACTGGGCTCCAGTCAGCCACTCTATAAAGGGTAACAGACATTAAGGTACCTGGCAAGTCGGCAGGGCAAAGATGACTCCAAAGCATCTCTCAGATGGTATGTGTTACCACGTTTGCAGGAAGACCACAAGGATCCAGGGGTCCTTCCATTTGTAATCATTACAGGAGAGAGACAGGGATATTAAAGAGAGAAAGCACCGGAAGAAGGGGTAGAGAACGCCTGATCTTCTGCCAGTGTAGGCTGCATGACAGGAAAACACAACCGTGGGGAACACATGGGAACGGATTCCTAGGAAGAGACCAGACTAGTCACTACTAGTCTTTCACATTTCTCTCTTCTTTGACAACATCTTTCTCTTAATCTCATACAATGCCATTGTTTGGCTGTAAAACAACTGCAGCATGGCTAGATTAACACAGTATCAACCAGGCATGCTGTACAGATCTTTCACAATGGAGCTCAACCGAAACAGCGAGACGCTGAATAAATAAAACCTTTGGCTCTGCTGAGTGTTTGTGCATGTGTGATTTTTCTGGGGTTTAAATTCAGTCTCTTGCACAAACCCTCACTGTCCATCATTGCTGTGCATGATTTCTCTCTCAGCCTGTATTTCACTTTTCTGAAGCAAATGACAGCTGTCAAATAGGCCAACAGCTGGCAGAAAAGCTCCGAACAAGCGGGCCAAGTGCACATTTCAAAACCCACACAGCATTTTTGTGAAATCAAAACCATCTGACTGCACATTTTCATCTTTGCTCGAAAGCGCCAAAGGACAGCGCTTGACCACACTGCAATTCAGTTGCTTCTAATATGTATTTTGGAAACCAGGGCCTAAGTTTTGTGAAAGGGAGGGGGGAAAAAAGAAGAAAAACTTTACAGCAGATTGAGTTTTAAGGAAGATCTCTGTACAATTAACATTTTGGCAATTTTCCTATTTGAATGTGCGTTTGCTGCATGTGTCATTTATAGTCAATTGTTTTCCTCGGCAGCCTGTTGGAACAGTTGGATGTTTAATCGAGTTTTTTGGACAATCTGAGAGGGAGAAACATTTGTTACTCCCCCTCAATGGCTACCTCCCATTCTCCTGATCAATCAGAACCAAGTAAGTTTCACTCACAAGTAGTAAAGGGGAGATGCTGGTCATAGGGGTAGGTCCTCAGAAATTGAGGGACAACACATCTCCAAGATTTACCTCCCATACGGGCTTCTAAGAACCAATGTTGGTTAAAAAGACCATTCTGTTTTGTGGCAATGGGTAAAATCCAACATGCCTGGGAACTCAACAGAATGAATGGGACTGTTCACAACACTCCTGCTACTGTGGTTAATATTAAAGTGAATCGTGGCATTAGGGCCATTTGCCCGGAACATGCTGCGTACCCACTCCCCCTCACCGATCTGGCCGGCATTGGTTTGTGCAGGGTCAAACCAACCTACAGACCACACTACACAACCAGAAGTAGCCCCCATCTGGATCAATGCAGTACCTGCAACACGGGCCAGGAGGAAGTGTTTCCCTCGCCTTAGGTCCACTTCATGACTAGAAGTGCGGGTGATAGGAAGGGAATGGGTGACAGGCATGATCTGAATGGTTAATTATTCATCTACTGTGGAGCCTCAGCCCGAAAATCATCACAGGGTAACTTTCTGTTGAACTGTGATTGTGAATGACACTTGAGCACCTAGAAATGTACCTCTGGAGAGATCACACCACAAAACCCTCACTAAACCTCTCCAGGGTCTGTAGCTTAGAGACAGCCGCTGACGGTTCCTTCTCAGATGGTCAGGAGCGGTACGCACCCCACACCAACCCCTCCCTCGTGACACACCATAGGGGCCATAAACGTCCAGCGGTTGGTTTCTGGGTCGTACATTTCTACTGAGCTCAGGTTGGACTGTCCGTCATAGCCGCCCACCGCATACAGGCGACCACAGTTGGCTACCAGGGAGACACGGCTCCTCCGGGTGTTCATAGGGACAATCAGGTACCACTGATCCGCCATGGAGCTGTAAACCTCGGCGATGCTGAGGAAGCCGGAGCCGTCGTACCCGCCGCAGACGAACATCTTGCTGCCCAGGGAGGCGGCTCCATGCCGACAACGCTTGTTCAGCATGCTCGCGACCGGATGCCATGTGGCTGTGTGATGGTTGTAGTACTCCACCTGCAGGTAAGAGAGCGTCAACATAAGGAGGGCATTCTAGCATGTATACACCTGCATTGTGGGCTGCACATAGACAGGCAATCAGAGCTACTCTTAAGCCTACGTAAGTATGTAGAAGATCATTACAGGCAGATTAGGGTACAGGTAGATTTCTGGTGCTTGGGTAAAGCATCGTCCTGGAAGGCAGCCAGCCTCCGTTTGGAGATACGGAGATGATGAATCCGCCACTTCCCTCAGTAGCTGGTGCGTCATTGCTCAAAACATGCCTAATTCCTAATTTGAACTTGTCAGGCTTCAACTTTCAGTCATTCTGGCTACCCCTTCTTGTGGTTTACAGAGGCATAGAATTGTAGGGCTGGGAGGGGCCATAAGTCATCTAGCCCAGCCACCCTGCCATGCTAGAGCAGTGCTTCTCAAACTCCATTGCATCATGACCCTCTTTGGACAACAAAAATTACTCCACGCCCCCAGGAGGGGGGACTGAAGCCTGAGCTCTCCTGAGCCTCCCCACCTGGAGAGAAAGGAGGTAGGGTGATTGGCCTGGGAGAGGAGGAGGGGGAGGAGGAACGGCAGGGCAGCCGCAGGCCGGATCCATCGGCTTGGTGGGCCGGATCCGGCCTGCAGAGAGCCATTTGCCCACCCTGGTCTAGCCCCTAGTGGGTTTGTTTGACTCAGTTAGTGGTGCCTGCTCAGGAACCATCTAGGACTAGACCAAGAGGTGATACTGACGACAAGGACGAAGGAGCTGTATGCTTAGATGACGGAGCTGCATAAGCTTGGACTAACTGTGCTGACCAGAGATAGGCAAAAGGCAGGTTTTCCACCCTGTGGTCAGCACAGTTAGTCCAACTTCACCAGCCCAGAGTTGCAAGAAATCAGTGTGGTGCAGAACTGGCTCCGAGATTCAGACTTACACTGCTGAAAATCTGTAAACCGTCATGCCCTCCAGACACGTAGATCCTGCCTTCGAACACGGTGACTCCAGCCGCGCTGCGATTCGAACTCATGGGGGTCGCTACTGTCCACCTTGCCGAGAGAAAAGCCAATAGCAGCAGTGCAAGAATCTCTCCCTTCCACAGGCAGTGCACATGAAGCTCCATATAAAGACATTAAATGATTACACAAAACTTCCTGGTGACCCAGAAGCCTTTCAGGTATTGAGTGTCTAGTATTTTCACTCCGCCATCTATTCATTCTAGACAAGGCCCTTCGTTTTCAAATTTTATTGTGTAAATAAACAAAAGCATTTCCCAAGAACGTATCCGTGTTTATTTCAAAGGTTAATAATTTGGGGAAATACCAGCAGAATAAATTAACTTCACAGATTTCTGGGAAAATGTTGGAGTTAATATTGGGGAACGGGAGGACGGGAAAAAGGAACAAAATGGAAGAGAGTATTGAAAGTAAAAGTAAGGTAATGCTGTGGTTTATTACGTGGATTACACATTAAGAGCATGTACGTGTGTGTCTTTGACAAACAAGTCTTGCATGTATACTTTGATTAATTTGATATTAACAGATACATCTCTGATGTAATATATTGAATGTTCTTAGCATAAAATCAGTATTTCTGTATGTCCGAATGGTCCAAAATTCAGGTAGGGGAAACAGTATCTGTAAAAACTGAAAATGAAGGGCCATACTTCTGTATCAAAACTTTATTCCGTTCACTCCTCTAGAATTAGTACACGTGGTTTTAAGCCAAACGTAGTTACTCAATCAAAAATAAAGGTTTTCCAGCCTATTGTAGCTCATCTTTTTTAAAACCGGTGCTCTCGGCTGTTCCTCCTGTGTTTGAGGACATAGGCAGAACCCAGCGGGAGAAGCCAGAGTATGTTTAGAAGCTCTTACTTGTCTGTTTCTGGTGAGTAGGTCTCCACAGAGTTGAGGGATGAGTTTCCATCATACCCGCCACACACATAGATCTGCCCATCCAGCACGACTGTTCCCATCGCGCTGAAATGAAGGGCATAACACCAGGTTAGACTGCTTTGGGCAACTGAAACATGTTGCATCATGAAACAAAATTTTGCAGCGTACCTTGGCAGACACTTAGTGGATAAAACCGGCTTCGTTCTCTGAGAGTCTCTGCGTCTGGGAAGCAGGTCGATACTTACTGCTATCCAACTACTTATTAATATAGCTCACCCCATGAGCCCAATATCTGGCTAACATGCAGATGTTCATGAATTAAATAAATGCAGCCAATTAGCAAATA